AATAATAATTACAAAGATCGACATGGCAGCCGATATAATTGATATATACGGGAATAAAGTTGTACTAAGGTGTCATGTCATGATACAATTCGAAATGAAATTTCCAATACATATGCTTAATCAATTATCCACACGGAGATAGGATTTTCTTATACTACTAATTTTGAACTTCGGGGTACCAAATTTAAATCTTTTCATTAACACCTAACTAAAATATTCAACCTATGTGACCCTTATAAAAAAAACTAATATGAGAATGTAGTAAGCAATAATGTAGCGTGATAAGTGTCAAGTTGTTTTCTTCCTACATTATGATCTTTAGTTCCTGTCTAATGCTCCTCCAACAAAATGAAGCGGCCAATTCTATTTTTTTTTTTTCTCCCTCATTTTCTATTAAAAATTCAGAAACAGAAGGAACTTAGCTGGGCCGTGTCAAAATGTCAACTCGGAATTTCTCCTCCTCTTCTAGATGTTCCCACTGTACTTTTACAGCATTCTCTATCTGTTCCCCCTTAGTTCGTAAAATCTTTTGTTTTAATACCTCAGCTCAGAAGGTGGTGATGATTTTTGGCCTTAGCAGGTCGGTTAAGTAAGGCAAGGAAGAAACCGCAGGGTGTGTTTGTTACTTTGTTTCAGTGAAACTCAAATATTAATCCCACATCGGAGACAATTAAGATGCTAATGGTGTATTTAATTGGCACGCCAATCTAGTGAATCACTGAGCTCGGTAACGCGGGCTTGTGACCCGAGTGGGAGCATTAAGGTGTTGGGACATTGGACTGACTGTTGAGGTTGGGCCTTGTATAGCTGAACCCTGGCCTGCCCGTTCCAAGCTTGGAGCTGGAGTTCAGCTTCTTCAGCGAAAGCTGAAAAGGCCGTTCTCCTTGAGTTGTAGGGCACCGCGTCAGGCTGGTTTCACAGAGCAGCGACTACCTCTCCCTTTAGGCAGTGGGAGGATAACAGGCCGGTGCTGGCAGGTCCCGTTGGGCCTCATTGGTCGCTTAAAATGTACCAACACTTTTTCCCCGTCCGGCTGGACCATGGCCCAGATTTATTGTTGTGGCCTTCATATTGTGGGTGTATTTATCGTCCGGCTGGACCCTGGCCTGCCCGTTCCAAGCTTGGAGCTGGAGTTCAGCTTCTTCAGCGAAAGCTGAAAAGGCCGTTCACCTTGAGTTGTAGGGCACCGCGTCAGGCTGGTTTCACAGAGCAGCGACTACCTCTCCCTTTAGGCAGTGGGAGGATAACAGGCCGGTGCTGGCAGGTCCCGTTGGGCCTCATTGGTCGCCTAAAATGTACCAACACTTTTTCCCCGTCCGGCTGGACCATGGCCCAGATTTATTGTTGTGGCCTTCATATTGTGGGTGTATTTATCGTCTAATTGAACCATAAAGCAAATGAAACATCGTCATATAAAAATATAGGGACCTCCTACCATGCCTGAAGTTACTATAACTTGAACTATTTGACCTGCTATAGCAGGTTTTACCGGTCGCATTATTAGTTTTACGTAACAGTTAAACTAGAAGCGTTACGGAAGGTTTCCGTAACGACTTATCATTTTACGTAACGCTAGGTTAATATTCATTACGTAAAAGCATCGTCTATTACATAAGGCTTCCATAATGACATTTTACAACTGTTACATAAAATACAAGCTCATTACGTAAAGTTTACGTAACGAAGGTTATTTCTTACGTAACAGTTAAATTAGAAGTGTTACATAAGACTTCCGTAATGACTTACCACATTACGTAACTTGATTAAGATTCATTACGTAAAAACACCATCCATTACGTAAAGCTTCCGTAATGACACTTTACACTTTTTCCCCGTCCGGCTGGACCATAGCCCAGATTTATTGTTGTGGCCTTCATATTGTGGGTGTATTTATCGTCTAATTGAACCATAAAGCAAATGAAACATCGTCATATAAAAATATAGGGACCTCCTACCATGCCTGAAGTTACCATAACTTGAACTATTTGACCTGCTATAGCAGGTTTTACCGGTCGCATTATTAGTTTTACGTAACAGTTAAACTAGAAGCGTTACGGAAGGTTTCCGTAACGACTTATCATTTTACGTAACGCTAGGTTAATATCATTACGTAAAAGCATCGTCTATTACATAAGGCTTCCATAATGACATTTTACAACTGTTACATAAAATACAAGCTCATTACGTAAAGTTTACGTAACGAAGGTTATTTCTTACGTAACAGTTAAATTAGAAGTGTTACGTAAGACTTCCGTAATGACTTACCAAATTACGTAACTTGATTAAGATTCATTACGTAAAAACACCATCCATTACGTAAGGCTTCCGTAATGACACTTTACAACTGTTACGTAAAGTATGCATCTATTACGTAACTGTTACGTAAAGTATGCATCTATTACGTAACTGTTACGCAAAGATAGTTATTTGTTACGTAACAGTTAAATTAGAAGCGTTACGTAAGTCTTCCGTAATGATTTAACAGATTACGTAACGAAAGGTTAATATTCATTTATGTAAAATGAGTGTTCATTACGTAAGGTTTCCGTTAGAGGTGTCAATCGGGCGGGTTCGGGCTGGGTTCATTCGGGTTGCGGGTTGGTCGGGTTGCGGGTCGATCGGGTTGCGAGTTCATCGGGTTCGGGTTGATTGGGTTGCGGGTTATTCTAGTTACGAGTCAATCGGGTTGCAGGTCAATCGGGTTGCGGGTCAATCGGGTTGTGGGCCAATCGGGTTGCTGGTCAATCGGGTTCGGGTAAATCGGGTTGCGGGTCGGGCAGTTCGGGTTGCGGGTTTTACGGACCAGAACATCGCGTTACTTTTTAGTTATTACTAGTAAGTTGTAAATCGTAACTATATGAAGCTAGCACAATACTTGTAAAAAAAAAAGAATCACTACTCAAAGTCAAAGACTCAAAGGTGGGGGGGAAACAAAATTTTGGGGAAACATTACAGGGGGGATTATTGGCGGGTCTCGGCGGGTGGGCGGAATCAAATTTTTGGTCAGTAGTATTGGGGGAACCCAAAATGTGGAGAGAAAAGTTTAAAAATATTTTTTTAATTTTCTAAAAACAATTGAAATTGTTCATATAAATGTATAGAGAAATTGTTGTTTTAGCTAGTTCATTGTTTATATGATTTTTGTATTAAACTAAATTATAAAATTTAGAAAAATTGTTGTGAGTTCAATTGTAACTTTACTCGATAACATATAATCTAAACTCTAAATAGTCTATACCGTGAACCCCAAATGATTTTATTCATGAACATGTGTTAATAAATAATTTGATCCTTATTATTTATGATTTTGATTAATCTTGGCTAAACCATTAATAGTTTAATACCTTAACCCTACCCATTACCCTATACGTCAATCTCTATATCATATACCCTAAACCCCTAATGGTTTGATTGATGAATGTATGTTAATAAAAAAAACTTGATCCGTATTAGTTATGATCAATGCAGTCAAAATCTAGATTTTAAGTAAAATCGAAAACTGAGGTAGAATCGAAATCGTAGATTAAAATCGTAAAATCGTAAGATTTTAAAGTTCATATTAAAATAAATACTTAAAACCCTAGATAGTAATAATAATGCATATCTTGAATAACAATCAACCACATAAAGCATAATTACTTCCCAAGATAAGTTTGTTTGCTAAACAAACACAACTAATCCATATATTTTTCTTGTACATAATAGAAACACACAAATAAGAAACCTGAAACATTATAGATATCACTGTTAATTAATTGTTAAGAGTAGAAAATCACATAAGATCGTTAGGATCAACATTAACATCACTTACACATCATCGTCATCGTCATCATCCTCAACCTCACCCTCACTCTCATCGTTTTTATTTGTTTAAGGACTAATATCATTACTCTTATGATCACTTGAAGTACTTTCACCATTAACCATATTTCCTTGATTACCATCATCTGGAAAACATAACTCATTGATTGATGCATTCCCTTCTTAATTGATAAAAGGTAGGGTTAGTGGTGCTGAAGGATTGGGAGATGAACAAAAGCTTGCAATGTGATGGAGATTTGGATTATTGTGAGAGTGGTGGGAACAAACTACAAGCTAATTGGGAGGGTGGAAGATATCGTTGATGGAAGGAGTTGGGCGCCGACGTGCGAAAGAGGAAGATACGAGGAAGAGAATGAAAATAAATTAAGGGTTAACTATCAGGTTGGGGTTGTGTTGTTCATTATGTTGGGTTGGGGAAAGTAAATTTGACTCGGTTCATGGGCATAACCCAACTTAACCGGCCTAATTTTGATCCAATTGATATGAACCTTGAAATCGTACAAAATCGTAGAAATCGTAGATTTTATGGATTTTAGAGTTTTAAATCAGGATTTTATGGGATTTTAAGGTTCAAAGATTTTAAGTAAAATCAGGATCGGAACCCATAGGTAAGATCGTAAAATCGGGATTTTGACTACATTGGTTATGATTTTGACTTATCATGGCTAAACCATTAATACCTTATACCCTATAAGTCGACTTTATAATCTATACCCTGAACCCCTAATGGTTTGATTCATGAACATATATTAATAAGAAAACTTGATCTTATTAGTTGTGATTTTGACTAATCCTAGCCAAACCATTAATACCTTATACTCTAACCATATACCCTATAAGTCGACTCTATAACCTATACCCTAAACCCCTACTGGTTTGATTTATGAACATATGTTAATAAGAAAAGTTTATCTTATTAGTTATGATTTTGACTAACTATGGTCAAATCATTAAGACTTTATACCCTAACCATATACCCTATAAGTCGACTCTATAACCTATACCCTAAACCCCTAATGATCTGAATTCTGATTGATGAACATGTGTTAATAAAAAAAGTTGATCTTATTAGTTATGATTTTGACTAATAATTGTTAAACCATTAATACCTTATACCCTAACCCATTAGACTAACCATATACCCTATACATCGACTCTATAATCTATATACCCTATTACACTACAGGAAAACTGGTTTTTAATCACGATATCTTATTCACGATAGTGTTTTCTGTACTTAGAGGTATGCTACTAAGCACGGTAAAATTTCCCGTAATTAATTTTATAGTTACAATCACGGGAATTAATTTGCCTATTTTTAATCTTCACTTCCCGTGACTAATAATCAGTCACCACTACAAGAAAACAAGGGTTTTGTGTCACTAAAAAATTATTTAGCGTCGGAGATTTGTATCGGTTAAACAACCGACACAATTTTTTATGCTTTTACATCGGTTAGAGAGAACCGACATAATTTCTTTCGTATTTGAGTCGGTTTTCACTGTAACCGACACAATTATTGTTGATTTGGGTCGGTTTCGTATTGAATCGACACAAATCCTTTGCCCGCCCAATTTTTCAATGCCCGCCTAATTTTTTCTTGAGAAATGCCCACCCAAATTTTGACCACTGCCCAAAATTTCCCTCCTTTCATGGTTGAAAATTTTCAGCAGATAAATCAAACCCACCACCGCCCAAATTTCAAACCACTATTTCTCTCTGTTGGAAATTGAAAACGAGCCCTTCGCCTACCTCTCCTTCGTTCCTCTCCAAACAACAACCACTTCACTTGCCACTCTAGCGGCTTGCTCTGGCGAGATGCGGCAACGTTGGCGAAAAGGCCAGACGACTATGGCGGAGAGATTGAGACGACAGAGCAAAGGTTCCAGCAAGGTGGGGGCAGAGAGTGAGTTTCGAAGGTTGGATGAGATGGTGGCGGCGGAGAGATCGAGACGGCAGAGGCTGAGGTTTTCGCTCCAGATCTTCAAGAAGAAGCCTTCTTGTCGCCTTCTCCGACCAAGAATGAGGAGGTAGAAGAGGCCTCCATTGTCCGACCTCCCTCAGTGCCTCCTCATCTTCTTCTCCATCGGCTGCACCACCGCTTGGGCTAAAGGAGACCAGGGTTGCCGGTAATCTGGGTTCCCGATTTGGCTGTCTGTTTTCATCTTATTCTTTGTCAAATGAACACCAGATTTGTGATTGGGTTTAGTTTTAATTGATATTGGTTGATTTCACGTGGTGGAGTAGCCCCTAGAAGCAGCAGCGACGCCGATTTGAGAGGAGAGATTTGAGACAGGGGAGGGCGGCGGAAGACAAGGGAGATTTGAGATAGGGGAAGAGTGAGCCGAACAGAGTTGTGGGTTCCGAAGTTGGATCTGGTCGTGTTCCAGGCAGGGAGAGGAAGACTCCTTCTTCCTTCTTTTTCCGTCGATGGAGAACACAGAGAACGCAGATTAGACGACCGGAGATGGAGGTGCGGTGGTGTGGATAGACGACAGAGTTGCTAGGGCGGAGGCGTGATGGCAATGACGATATGTTTTTTTTTTTTTTGTATGGGGCTTTCTGCGTGTTGGAGACTTTCTGGGGATGGAAGAGACGGATCTCTTCTTCCGGCGGCGGAAGTTTTTTTTTTTTTTTTTTATAATTTGTGTCGGTTATTTTGAGTTTGTTAAACCGACGCAAATAATTCATATAACTAAGAAAATAATAATTCATATAATTATAAAAATGATTATTTCTTATATGATTAGTGTCGGCAGGTTTCGTGTCGGTTAAGCGAACCGACACGAATTGTTTTTGTGTCGGTTATAACCGACACAAAACATAAGAAATAACTGACACTAAAAGCCAGTTTCTTGTAGTGCACGGTTAATTACCATGAATAATATGAATATTTTAGCAATACAAACTTTCCCAAAATTTAGTTGGGAGAATATGAGTTGGCTCCAATATTTTTTTGGCTCCCAAAAAAAAATACAAACTTTCCCAAAATTTAGGTGGGGAAATTTGGGTTGGCTCCAAAAAAGTGCCCACCAACGAAAAGCTCATTTTGGCTCAAACAAAATTGGCCAATTAATTATCCCGCCTTATTTTTGAAAGTTTGGGCCCTAAGCAAGTTTTGTGCTTTGTCCCTCAACCCGAATTATGTGTATGTATGAGCTGATTTGAGAGAAACCATGAGTGAGAAATGCTCTCGTTTCCAGCGACCGAGTCCAACTATTCACATGATTAAATGACCTTTTTCCTGTAGTGTTATGAGTCCTGTATTCTTGTTATGATCGTCATTTGGAATGTCAACTTGCTTTTTGGACATGTTTTTATTGATATTTGAGGTCTTGAGACAATATGAACTATTATGAGTCATGTATTCTTGTTATGATTTGACTTTTGTGAACTATTATTAGTCTTTTCTTATGACAGGACCATGATATTTGGATTCTAAATCTTATAATTATCTTATTATGCTAAATTAATATTTTATAATGTTATGTGCACTATTAGGTTGATGATGTAGCTAAATAAATATTTGATGATATTATATGCGTTAATAGGTTGATGATGTATATTATTATACTAAGTTAATAATTGATGATGTAATGATCAGATTTTAGTGAACTAAAATTTCAAATGTCAACTTTTGGTTTATCTTCATCGAATTCCTTCTATTATAGTCGGGCTGCGGGTTGGTCGGGTTACGAGTTCGGGTTAGTCGGGTTACGGGTTAATCGGGTTGCGGATCGATTGGGTTGCGGGTTGATCGGGTTGCAGGTTCATCGGGTCGCGGGTCAATCGGGTTGCGGGTCGAGCGGGTTACGGGTCATTGACTTTTAGTCAAATCAGGTTGCGGGTCGGGTTGATCGGGCGGGTTACTCGTGTCGGGTTACATTTTGACAGCTTTAGTTTCCATAATGACATTTTTCAACTATTACGTAAGATAAACACACATTACGTAACCATTACGTAATACCTATTGTAATTTATGTAATGCGACTTGTGAAACCTGTTATAGCAGGTCAAAAACATCAAGTTACAATAACTTCAAGATATTGTAGGAATTTCCAAAAATATTCAAATACACCCTAATCCCTGCACAAATACGACTATCTATTATTTAACATGAACGTGGTTACTACAAAAGTAGTAATCACCGTGGTTACTAAGGGTAAATTGGGTATGGAAAAATAAAGTATATTAATTAATTTTTTAATAAATTACATTTTAGGTAGTTACAAAAATCTATTAATTAAAATTCTCTCTTTCTCTCACTTCCGTAATCTCCAGGCAGATTTCCTTTCCATATTTTTCTCAATCTTTCCGCAAAAAAAAAAAAAAAAAAAAAAAAAACGAAATCAGTACCAATCCATTAGACAAACACTACCACTTTGAAAAAATCAATACCATTGCAAAAATAAATCTATACCATGACAAGAAAACTACCATTGCAGAAACAAATCTATACCATTACACGAAAACTACCAATATAAACAATCTATACCATAAACAATCAATACCATTGCAGAAATAAATCTATACCAGTACACGAAAACTACCAATATAAACAATCTATACCACTGCACATTGAATCAATAAACAAAAATTACTAGATCTAGGTTTTTAAATCTATACCACTACACATAAGAAAGAGAGCAGCGGGAGAGAGCATAGAGAGAGAGAGAGAGAGATTTTCAGAGCGAATGAGAGACAGAGAGAGAGGGTAACGCAGGTCGGGGAGGGGTAGAATTGAGGAGCGTCGTGGTGGGGAGCTGCGGATCTTGTGTCCTGAGATTTCCATCCCGCCGGCGAGCTGGTTTGATCCCTCTGGAGAATGCGTTATTGACGGAAGCTATCACATCAGAGGTCTTCCGAGAGAGAGAGAGAGAGAGAGAGAGAGAGTACCGAGGGTGGTCGGGGGCTGCTGCCGGCGGTGGCCGAGGGTGGTCGGGGCTGCTACCGGCGGTGCGACGGGAGTGGTACGTGGAGGCGGCTGCGAGCCTGCGACGGGTTTGGCTGGAGGGAGGATAGAACTATGGTTTAGATAGATTATATAGAATAATCAGGTGTGGTCACTTTTTAATTTCCAAAATTACCCTAAAAGAATCTTGACCGTAAGATTAAAAAAGAAGGAAAAATAATTAATTAAATAGTATATAAAGAGGTTGCCACCGTGATTACTAAAAAAACATATAATCATCCTAACCCATTCCCATGAACGTGTACTAATCTCATATTAGTTTCGCTCCAACTTATATATAGTATGAAAGAATTTGAAGAGCTCAACGCCGACCAACCTCCGATCATATGGAAATGAGATTCTCGATCAAAAACGAAATAACAGAAGGTACGTAAAATAACCAAAGAGGAGGAAAAAATAAACAAAGAGTACTTGTCACAGTCGAAGGGGCGGCAAAGAAGAGATAATATGGTGGGTTGGTTGGAAGAAGAAGCCATTGTTGTACAGACAAAAGAAGCACACCAGCCTGTTCTGCGGTTTCCCCTCTTGACCCATTCGGCCATTCTTGATTTGGTAGATGGAGTTTTCTCCAGTCGGGAATTCTGTGTACGGATTCCGGATCCATAATTGGACTAGGACAGCTTGGGGACGAAACGATTTAACATGTAGTATAATTTATCATTAGTTTTATATATAGTGTACTAAGTAATCGCAGTGTTGATTGGGTTTAGTGAATATAGTTTTATAGTTTACTACGGTAGTTGGACCACGTCAATTCGATTGATGAATATACATGGTCAATGATCTATGGAGAAAACCAAAGCCAAATCCTTCATCCTGATTTGTGATGAGGCATTGTTGTAATGTGATTCAGACATTTGGGAAGCTAGTTTCTCGTGTTATCACGAAGGCTCGCACCATGGACCAATTGCAAGTGAGTTGCGGTTGCACCATGGATCAACCGTAACTTACCTTAGGTTGAGCGTTTTTTTTGGAAATTTCGTTAGAGAACGGGCGACGCCGACGAACTGGTGCGTCGAGAGGGATTCGCGAAGAAGGCAGATGAGGGGTTCAGTTTGAGGGGTTAGGGATTGTTTGGTTTGTTTAAATTTTGAAATCTTATTGGGAGTATATAAATCATTTATCATTAGAGTTAAGGCGACTGTTAGCAATTTTAAGGGCGACATTTAGCGATTCAGTAAAACTAATGTACTTGATAAGTGTCAAGTTGTTTTCTTCCTACATTATGTTTAGTTCCTCTCTAATTCTCATCCAACAAAATGAAGCGGCCAATTCTCTTGGGTACTCGGGTTGGCTACGTCAGGAAACAAACATTAAAAACTTCCCGCGCCAGCAGTTTAGGGCCAAATCCTTTTATTTTTTCATTTTCTATTAAAAATTCAGCAACAGAAGGAACTTAACTTAACTGGGTAGTGTCAAGTGTCAACACGGAATTTCGCCTCCTCTGTACTCTTACTACATTCTGTATTTGCTCCCCATAGTTCATAAATATTTTATTTTGATACCTCAGCTTAGAAGAAAAATGCGATCAAAGTCACTTTTTGTTTTTTTTTTTATCGCAATACTTGTAGAGTTGTAGTTTGTGAAATATTTTGATCTCTTTTTCTTTCACATCGAATGAGAAAGGGAAGGAAGTCCATCAAAATGGAGAGGACATCGAAAGTCGAAAATCGAAGCTCTTGTTCTTGATTCTTCTATTATACATCATAAGTTATCAAGTAGTACAAATTGAAATTTAAAAACTTAAAGCCAAAACTTTAAAATATAAACGCACCATATGACACTGAAATATGAATTATTTATCTATGATAATGAGAACGACTGACTCAACGATATGAAAACAACGACAAAACTTCAATATCCAATGAATACATTGTATGGTCATTAGAGAAAGACTTAGCGTTACTTCAATACTGATTCTCCCAATATTGGATACCACGTAAAAGTGTGTTTTGTTCATTTACTGTTTGCTTTGATTGTTGGTCGCTATGTTTCAATTCAATTCGTTCAGGTTCAAAGAAGCACTTGAAGCAGAGGTTTGATCTCGGTTGAAGAAGAGAAGTCATCAGTAGGCTTTGGGGGTTGTCCAGGGCCAAGCCCAGTTCCCTCGGAAACAAACTTTTGGGCTCCAAGCCCACAGTCATAACAGATAAATAAACTTTTGATCCAATTCATTTCTGGCAATTTCGTATTACAATTTCGTTGTGAGAAGCTGAGAATCAAACATCAAAATTTTAACAATTCACTTGGCTGGCTATTGTGTCGATTAGGGTTTTGTAGGATTTGTTCTTCATTGTCTGAATTAACAAGAAGAAGGCGGCTGGTCTCGCGCTCGACCCACCTACAGTGGAGACGTCGACCGCTGGGGAAAAGAAGTCAGAGACGAGGCTGGGGTCGGGTTTAGCTCCCCGCTGACTAGGGCTGAAAATTGGCCCGACCCGCCCCTGACCCTGTCCTGACCCTATCTGACCCGCCCCTGAAGGGTCAAGATGTATAACTGACCCGTCCCGACCCTGTTTCTTTCATGACCCTGTCTGACCCTTTAGGATCGGGGCGGGTCAGGAAGGGTCGGGTCGAGAATGAGAGCTTTTGAGTGGACATAGTAGTCCTTGCCCCTACAGCCCAGAGGTCAAGGGGGTTCACTAATATCTCTTCTTCCCGGAGAATGGGATCGAACTCTCCTCTTTTCTTTTGCTGTGTCAAGCCAGTTCTCTGATCCGCGGGGGACCAAGCTTCTGAACAAGC